GAGTAGAATTGCACTCCACAGGATTTTCAATGGCTGTAACCTTTCAGAAGCAGATCTTCAGGCCTTTCTTCCAAAGTGCCTCTGGGTGGACTCGAGGAGCCAACCTTTCTGTTAGCAGCCAAGCATAAGCAACAGCAACTGGTTTGACCAGCACTTGTAGACTGGATTGGAAGAAAGTCCTGACAATTCACTTCTGAAAATCAGCCACTGAAAACCCTATGGAACACAAAGATGTGATCCGCAACCTATCATGGGGATGGCACAAAGATAGCATTTCATTTTGTTGGGCATGGGGTTGTCATGAGTCAGGGGCTGACAGCAGCTAACAACAACAACCAGCAGTTGGGCTAAACAAGGCCCTGATGCTTGAGGAACACAGCTTGAAAGGACCTTGAGTTGAGTCAAGCTGCCCAGTGCCCTCAAATCAGGATTCTCCTGCCATCTAGTGCCCCATAAGCAGCAAACTCCTAAATTCCAATGACAGGGCCTCTTTCCTGTCTTGCCCCCTTCACCGGTCTCCTTTTCCACTCTTGCCAGAACCACTTGGCTTCCCCAAAGCTTCAAGCTCTTTCACACTCTGGTTTTCCACATTCTGTTTTGCTCTCAGCAGCTCCCTTTGCCTGACATGCCATTCTCTTCACCCTTTCTGGTGTGCCAGGCAAACACCAACTCCTCTTCAAAGACTCAATTCAAGCTTTGCTTCCCCTAAGAAAGCTTTCCTAGGGCACCAAACTGCTCACTTCCTTCTTGTGGACCCAAGCCACCACCTACAGCACAGCTCTTCCAACACTATGTATGTCTGCCGACTCCCCTTCTCCACCCATGCTCCCTCTGTACCCGGCCCTTGGCACAGTGCCCTGCTGGTTTCTAGCAGGCCTTCAATACATGTTTGATATATAAATGCGTAGGATGGTAAAGAGGGAAGAGGATATATGCCTCACTGATTTTGTTTCTCTAGAGAACCCAGCCTAAGACAACGACTATTATTCAAATTTACACACCAACCACTAAGGCCAAAGATGAAGAAATAGAAGATTTTTTACCAACTTCTGCAGCCTAAAGTTGATCTAACATGCAATCAAGATGCATTGATAATTACTGGTGATTGGAATGCAAAAACTGGAAACAAAGAAGTAGGATCAGTAGTTGGAAACTATGACTTCAGTGACAGAAACAACTCAAGAGATGCATGACAAAATTTTGCAAGACCAACGACTTCTTCATTGCAAATACTTTTTTTCAGCAACATAAACAGTGACTATACTCTTGGACCTCGCCAGATGGAATACACAGGAATCAAATCGACTACATCTGTGGAAAAAGACAATGGAAAAGCTCAATATCATCAGTCAGAACAAGGCCAGGGGCTGACTGTGGAACAGACCATCAGTTACTCACATGCAAGTTCAAGTTGAAGCTGAAGAAAATTAAAACAAGTCCACAAGAGCCAAATTATGACCTTGAGTATATTCCACCTGAATTCAGAGACCATCTCAAGAATAGATTTGATGCATTGAATGCTAATGAAGGAAGATCATACTAGTTGTGGGATGACACCAAGGATATCGTACATGAAGAAAGCAAAAGGTCATTAAAAAGACAGAAAAGGGAGTGGGGAGAGACCAAAATGGATGTGTGAAGAGACTCTGAAACTTACTCTTTAACGTAGAGTAGCTAAAGCGAAAGGAAGAAATTATGAAGTAAAAGAGCTGAACAGAAGATTTCAAAGGGTGACTCAAGAAGATAAAGTATTATAATGAAATGTGCAAAGACCTGGAGATAGAAAACCAAAAGGGAAGAAGACACTCAGTATTTCTCAAGCTGAAAGAACTGAAGAAAAAATTCAAGCCTTGAGTTGCAATATTGAAGGATTCTATGGGCAAAAAACTGAAAAAAATTGCAAGAAACATCAAAAGAAGATGAAAGGAATACAGAGAGTTACTGTAAAAAAAAAAAAACCATTGCCGTTGAGTCGATTCCAACTCATGGAGACCCTATAGGACAGTGTAGAACTGCCCCATAGTGTTTCCAAGGAGCAACTGGTGGATTCAATTGCAGACCTTTTGGATAGCAGCCAAGCTCTTAACCACTGCGCCACCAGGGCTCCAGAGTCACTGTACCAAAAAGAATTGGTCAATGTTCAACCATTTCAGGAGACAGCATATGATCAAGAACCAATGGTACTGAAGGAAGAAGTCCAGGTTGCACTGAAGGCATTGGCAAAAAACAAGTCTCCAGGAACTAATGGAATACCAGTCGAGGTGTTTCAACAAACGTATGCAACACTGGAAGCACTCACTTGTCTATGCCAAGAAATTTTGAAGACAGCTACCTGGCCAACTGATTAGAAGAAATCCATATTTGTGCCCATTCTAAAGAAAGGTGATCCAACAGAATGCAGAAACTATTGAACAGTATCATTAATATCACACACTAGTAAAATTTTGCTGAAGATAATTCAAAAATGGTTGCAGCAGTACATCGACAGGGAACTGCCAGAAATTAAAGCTGGATTCAGAAGAGGACGTGGAACAAGGGATATCATTGCTGATGTCAAATGGATCTTGGCTGAAAGCAGAGAATACCAGAAAGACGTTTACCTGTGTTTTATTGACTATGCAAAGGCATTCGACTGTGTGGATCATAACAAATTATGGATAACGTTGCAAAGAATG